CAGGTTGCTATCAATCGTTATGAAATTTAACTTAACTAATAAGGAGACCCAACTTTATTTATTTGGGAAGGGTTGCGTCATCCTTTATTACATTTGGAAGGCAAGGAACAAAATTATCTTTCAACATGAACAGACTCCACCCATCTCAATCATACACCAAATCCTACCACAGCTTGGACTACTTACAACGGCCCCAACCATCTCCGTACTATATTGACTTTCATTGTCTACAAATTGACGGTTCTTTTGATTAGGGATGCAAATGGATCGGATAATGACCCGAGACCCGATCCCATTTGCTCGAATTCGGATCCCCCTTGGATCTTCGGATCGAATCGGATAATAGGATCTGATAAAAAATTGGATCAGATTCGGATCACCCCTATCCGATCCGATATATATTATATAAATATATAATACATATATGTGTTATTAATTTATTTATAAATATATTTTTTATATTATATTTTTATAAATTTGTTATATTATTTATTTTAAAAAAACATGTATATATATGATGAAAATAATTAAAAATACTTATATTTTTTGTTTTTACTTTATTTAAATTAGTATGTTTTACTTTTCTTTTAATAATTTATTAATTTTTAAAGAAAACAAATCGGATTAGATTAGATCAGACCAAAGGTCCAACTTTCCGATAGAATTCAAATTCAAATTGAGTCCTATCAGATCTGATATTCGGATCGGATCGGATCTAACATGAATGGTGTCGGGTCGGATTTGAACCAACCCTGATTCAAATTCAATCCGATCCGTTTGCATCCCTACTTTTGATCCCACCACAGGATATGTAGGATGCGCTTTCATAATCCAGTGCCATCGAGGCAAAACCATTGTAGAACCAGCTATGACACTCAACTAAGAGCACTTATAGCAGGTCTGGAAGCAACCTCTCATCTAAGGCTTCAACAACTATCTATATATAGTGACTCGCTAAAGCTAGAGTCTAGGGCTGGCAAACTTGACCCCAACCCATTTGACCCACCCAATATGGTTGGCCATGAGCCGCGAGCCTTTCACGATCTATTTGAGTTTGGCTCGGCTCGACAAAAAATCGAGCTTTGAGCCAAATTCGAGCCTAATATATAGGCTCGTTTGCTAATCGAGCCAAGCTTGAGCCCAAGGCTCGTAAGGCTCGTAGGCCTACCATTAAATAAATAATTTTTATTACGTACATACATATAAGTATATATATATAATAAATAATTTTATTTATATAATAATATTTTTATTTTTCATGTATAATAGTAAATAATTTTTATAATTCTTAATTTTTTGTCTAAAAAATAAAAATATACATATAATTTTTATTTTTCAAAAAAAAACTTGGCTTATAGTCGAGCTCAAACTCAAGTCTCTAGCTCAAATTGAGCTTGAGCTTGATACTATTCTTACAAGCCGAGTTCAAATAGCCAAGTATTTGGCTCGGCTCAGCTCGACTCGAATCCACCCCTACCACCCAACCCACCCACCTTGGAACCTACCCATACCCATCCATTCTATTGGTGAGTCAATATGGGTCGAGTAACTCATTAGGGTCAGTGAAAAAGGGTCAAGATGGGTTGGGTCGAGGGTTCCCATTAGGGTTAGGATGGGTTAGGTCAAAGTTAAGCCCTATCTATACTCACCAAATCTCAAAAATAAAAATCAATAGTTAACATGACTTAAACTTAAGCCTCCTAATGCGTCCACATTTCATTACAAATCCAAACCACCATGCCACATTTCATTTTGTGATAAAAAGTGAAATAAGATAGATTTTATTAATTTTCATGTTCACATGCACTTTTACACGAAAGCACTTTTACAAAAAGCAATTTTATAAAATAATTTTATGAAAAATACTTTTACGAAAGCACTTTTACAAAAGTATTTTTATGAAAGCACTTTTACAAAAGTACTTTTACACAAAAACACTTTTATGAAAGCATAAAAGCGCTTTTACACAAAAGCCCTTTTATAAAAGTACTTTTATGAAAGCACTTTTACAGAAGTACTTTTACAGAAGTACTTTTGTAAATGTACTTTTATGAAAGCACTTTTATAAAAGTTATGCATTTTTGCATTTTCTGCTATTTTCTACATTTACTAAAATTTTTTGGTATTTTTCTGCTTTTTTCCATTTTCTGGTATTCTCTACATTTTTTGAAAATTTCTGGTATTTTTTTGCATTTTCTACAATTTTTTGTGCTTTTTTGCATAATTTCAGCATTTTTTTATGTTTTCATGCATTTCCTACAATTTTCTTTTTTTTTGCATTTTTATGATTTTCTGCAAAAGTTTGCATTTTTGTACTTTTTTGGTATTTTCTACATTTTTCGTAATTTTTTGCATCTTTTGCAATTTTTCTGCTATTTTCTGCATTTATCTACAATTTTTGCATTTTCAGGTATACAAGTTGACCTAACCCATTTTTGTTATGTGGTAGTCTTGAGAGCACTATTTTCAAAACAGGACCGGACCGGACGGTCAGACCGAAAAAACCAGGAACCGGTCATCTAACCGGTTCCGCTTTCCACCAAAACCGCTTTTCCCCCTAAAATCGTTGATTTTGGTCAGCAAACTGCTGAATCGGCCAGTTAACCATTCCAACCATTCAAACAGTTTTGACCGTTTTCCAATTTTTTAAATTTTTTTATTTTTTTGTTAGAACGGGCCGACCATTCGGGTCAAACGGTTGGATTGTTCGAACCGGTAACCAGACCCCTGACCAGTTCGATCATTGGTTTGTTTTTAAAAACCATGCTTGAGAGAGATGATTTTCTCAAAAATGTTTTTTTTTTTTTGTTTTTCCGAATATACAGGTTAACCCAACCCATTTCTATCATGTGGCAGTCTTAAGAGAGATGATTTTCTCAAAAATGCTTTTTTTTTTCCAGGTATACGAGTCGACTTGGCCCAGTTCTTTTATGTGGCATCCTTGAGAGAGATTATTCTCTAAAAAATTGTTATTTTTGGGTATACATGTTGCCCCAACCCATTTTTGCCACGTGGCAGTCTTAAGGGATGTTCCTCTAAAAAAATTATTTTCAGGTATATGGGTCGACTCGATCCATGGTGAGAGATGTTCCTCTTAAAAATTATTATTTCGGGTATACAGGCCATCCTGACCCATTTTTGTATTTATAGGTGAGGATAGGTCGGTTAGGGTGGTTAAGAGTCAATATGGATGGGTCAAGTGGGTCAATATGGATGGCTCAGGGTTAGGGTGGGTTATGACCCTTTAACAAGAAATGACGATGGGTCATGGTGGGTTGGTGGATTAATATGGGTGGATTGGTATTCAACCCTTACCCAACCTAATCCACCCATTTGCCACCCCTAGATATTAACTTTATTACAAGAGAAGAAGAACAAGGTAGGTGACTGGACAGAGCAGCTACACAACCTGCAGTGGAAGAAAATTACAAGTCTTTTGAAAACTCTTACTTCCCTATCTCTTTGGCATGTAAATAGATCACTGAACAGAGCAGCACACACTTTGGCTTACTTAGCATGTAAAGGCTAGATGGCCATTAAGTATGGAACTCCATATGTATCTATGCTAACAACGTAATGGAGCTGCTTCCTCTTTTATTGTTTTTTTTTTTTTAAGTTAGGGTTGGCTGAAAAGTATGAACCTGATTTAACTTCATATTTGCATGTATAAATATTAATATATATGTATTTGTACATGTAAGTACTTATGTATATGTATATCCATTATTCATGCATGTATATATATGCAACTATGCATCCATAAATGTATATATCTTATTAATGTGTTTTTTCATCATGAATATTAATGCATTTATGTATGCACATTTATCTATCTATTTATCCATCTATATATTTATGCATGTATATCAATAATTTTAAGAGACAATTATTTTTCTAAAACATGATAATGGTGTTCTTTTACATATAATGATGCTAATATTAAATTAACATGAATCCGAGTCTAAGAAATAAGTACATTTGACAAGAGGAAGTAAAGAAATCATGCCAATCCAAGAACAACCTGAATCCAACCTAAAGTTTTAGGTTTGGGTTAGGGTTAGATTTGGGGATTCAACAACTCGAATTGGGTTTTGGCCCGACTTGTACCCCAAGACATTCCAAAAACACCTTAATGGAAGTTTTAATTCAAATATATAGAATAGATAAACATTCCTATTTAATGGAATTTAATAGGGTGATCATTTCTAGCCTGACCCTACCCAACCCACTAATTTATGATAAATAATGAGTTTGGGCTTTATCATGCCTGGCCAGGGGCCCAAGCTCACATCAAGGTCAGGAATTTGTGGTTCTGAGCCTAGGCCCAATACTTCTAAGGTTGTAGGCATGGCCATCATCAGCCCTAAAAAATGATTCTGCATTACCAAAGAAAAAGTTCAACTAATCAAGATAGTGTTTAGTACCATTATCATTTATCATAAAATTGGTGCAGTTCAGGGCCAAATAGGCATTTCATCCAATGGAATTTGAAATTTTATTTGATTAATCCGTTTATCAACAAAAATTCCGAAACTTATGTAAGAACACGTTTTTTTATTGTTTGGCTTAATGTGACGCCTAATAACACTCACCTTTCATCAAGTAAAAATAAACTTTTTATCCTATTTTCAAGGCAAAATTCTTAAAAAATGTTTATTTAAATAAGGGCAACAAAATCAAACGATTTCCTCCCCACAAAATTGATTCTCACACCCACCAAACAGCCCTTGTGAGGAGGAAATCCGAATTTTCCAAACATAGCCCTCTCATTGATAAGATCGTCAAGTCATCAGAGTTATCGCGATTATTATCATGTTTCAGCTTTTCTGGCTGAATTGTGAACCAAATGATGAGAAACCCATCCAACCGTGGACTCTTACCCTCCACCAAGCAACACGTGGCAAGTTTTAGGGCCGACATGATATTCACAGTGACAGCAAAATGGAATATGATGACAGGTTGACTCTTGTAACGCTGCCAAGTGGAACCAGACTTTTCTGAGGATCTGCCTAAAGAGAACGCGGAAGCGCCGAGACGAAAGATTACTTCGCAGCAAAGGATTTCAAGAGAAAAAAAAGCTTTCAAAGGCGAAGAAGGAATGCAGAGAAGCTTGAAATTGTCAACGGCGTTGTTGGTTGTGTTGGTTTTGATTTTCAGTTCGATAATGGCTGACGGTGCTGCTGGAACAGGCGGTTCTCCTGCCTCCTCTGAAGCTGCAGTTCACATAGTTTACACTGAGAAGCCCGAGGGTGAGGAGCCCGAAGCTTTCCACATCAAAACCCTTGCTTCCGTCCTCGGCAGGTTTGTTCCACTTCTTCTTGTTCTTCATTTCTTCCCCTATCTTTCTCTGTTCGTTTTTCTTTACTGAGTTTAATATTCTTCGTTTTTCTTTTCTGGGTTTGATTTTTACAGCGAGGAGGCTGCAAAAGGGGCATTACTTTACAGTTACAAGAATGCTGCAAATGGGTTTTCGGCTAAACTCACACCTGAACAAGTCTCTCAAATCTCAAGTATGGATCATCTGTTTTTTTTCTCTTATATCTCTTTTCGGTTTATCTAAAGAGTAATCAATTGGTTGTGTTGTTGAATTTCTGGGGAACTGGGGTTGGGTGGTTGTTCTGGATTCTTATGTTTATATAGGGCAGTATTCTGATCATGTTTTTATTTCTCATAGTTTGGAGTTTTTCCAACAACTGAATTGAATGAATCAGATAAACTGGTGTGTGATGATTTTCTTTTAGCGATGTGAAAATAACAAAAATGCTACGCAATCTGTGCAAAGAAAATAAGGAAGAGAAAATTTCCCCTCCGAATCCAGCGGAACTTATACAGTTCTATAGATTGCATCAAAGGAGAAACTTTGTTTTGTGTGGTCCACGAGATTGACTGTGTTTTATGAGATAAAATTCTACATTTTGCTGTCTGAAAATGGGTACATGGGGTCATATTTTCTGCCCATATGATAGGTGATATTGAAGCGGGTTCTACAAACCAGTTGAACCAGATGATTACTTGAAGTTGATTTCCTTGAATCTATACTCTCTTTTCTCTCTCTGTCTTCTGTTGCCTCCAAGGTTCCCTTTTGTGGTCCTTTGGAGTATACGTAACTGTTGTTTTGGGATCCATAGACATCCACAATAGAGATTGCTAACACAATTTATAACATTGAAATTTCAGAAAGCGAAATAATAGTCTTCCCCAACCCTTTCCTTAGGCTTTCTTTTAATATTAATGATTGTCACCAGCCTATTACGAAAAGTCTGTGGATATTCCCTTGTGAGAGGATGATGACTAATAATTTCATAAATTACATTTGATTACATGTATGTTAGCTATCAGATTGCATTATTTCTGGTTTGCTTCTTCTAACTTGTGTTTTGTACTTTAGTTAAACGTAAGATATCTGCAAATTACATTTGATACATGTATTTTAGCTATCAAATTGCATTGTTTCTGGATTGTTTCTTCTAACTTGTGTTTTGTACTTTAGTTGAATGTAAGACATCTGCCACCAGTTATCAATCATCAAGATATTTAAATATAAGAAGAAAAGAGGATTTTCTATCCTGAATTGTCAGGGAAAACTGGAAAAAGTGGAGAACATGGATGTCCATCGTCTGCATGTTCCATGCAGAACTTGGCCTACAAAAATCAAATTAATAATTTGAGTTATAAATCTCCTTAACAAAGATAATATTAAAAAAGCATTTCTTGCAGAGCACATCAATTATTCAATTCTACCATGTGAAATTTCATAAAAAAAATTATACCATGTGGAGTAAAATTGAGCCTATATCTTCTATCTTTCAAGTATAAGAAGCTATGGGGCTATGCAATGGGGGTAGTTTATCCCCCATGCCCATAACCCCCAACCCTGGTGACAACGGGATTTGATCCCAGGTCTCCTCTACGACCATCCACACAACTTACCAATGAATCCACCATCAGTTGGTTCTTCTACATCTAACTTTACACTTTGTCGTTAATACCTTCATGAAACGTAAGCTAGCCGAATACTCCAGGGAAAATTGGACAAATTCTGGTTACTGAAAATTTTAAATATTGGAGAAACTGGAAAATTCCTGTACAACAGAAATCATGAATGTTGGTTATGGTAAATTAAGAGTTGTGGTTTTTGTTCACCAGATCATACATAATCCTCCTTGCATCCACACATCCAAGGAGGTGAAGTTAAAGTGGATGTAATCCTACAAGAGGAAAATCAACAATCTCTTGAAGTTGGAGATTCTTGGACAATTACAGATGATTTATTTCTAGTTACCTTCATTTTCATTACCTTTAGTGGTGGAGAAGAGTTAATCCATAGAGGTCTATCTCAGATACTTGTCTTCAGGCATCTTTAGACAAGCTTGATGGAGTGTTGATGTTAGAGCCCTCAACTAGGGAAATGTTAACTATCATTTTGTCAAGGGAAGTGGCCAGATGCTTACAAGTCTCCTGTTCTGTATTTAGGAGGCTACACTTTCGTTTTAAAGTCAACAAATACAATGTTCTGTAAGTTGGCAATCCTTTCTTTTTTTTTTTTTGAAAAGAAGAAAACAAAAGAAGAAAAAATAAAGAAAATGGGGAAACATCCTTCCCTCAAAATCAAGAAAAACAATGAAACTAAGGTCCCAGGGGACCTCTTGAGAGAAAACAGCTTCTTGCTCTAACCCTTTTATTATCGAGCCAGGCAACTGCACAGTTGCCTTCTTGATAAGTGTGATTGTAAACAATCAAACCAGACTGATCACAAGCAAGGCTTCTGCAATCTTGAATAAGAGATGAGAATCTCCTTAGGAATTGATATTCTCCTTTTAGCGCCTTGATGGTGATGAGAGAGTTATATGATTATTGGGCTATCAGGAAAGCAGGGTGAAATTTTGTGGGCAGGAAAGTGGGATACAATTTTGTGGGCCTCAAGAGCAGCCCAAATTTCAGCTACAGCCCATTTTAGCTGTCATAACTTCACCTTTCGAGTTTCTCATAATGCAGTCATGACCACACTTTTCATCTTCTTAGCCAAGGCACCAAATTTATTTTTAGGGAGTCTTGGGGAGGGGGGCCAAGTCAGCTGGACCAGTTAATTTTAGGTTTACCTCCAAGAACTCCTTTACCATTGTGATGATTTTTTCCAGTTTTCTCCTGTAACATTGAATCCACCAAGCTTCTAGGTTTCATCTTCCAGCTAATATACAACCAGCTATTCGTTGATCCATCAACCTCCAAACTTGTTTTGATATTTGGAAATGCACTAGAATATGGTATCTATCCTCCACATCCCAACAGAAATGGCACTCAACGTTAATATTTAGGCCCCTATCTACCAAGTTCTTCTTTGTTGGAAGCTTGTTTAGAATTAAAAGCCAAAGGAAGACCTTAATCTTTTCCTGGAAAAGAATTTTCCGTGAGTTTTTAATTATTTTAACAATTCTTGGTTCGATGGTCCTCTCCTCTCCTCTCCGAGGGAATTATAAGCCAATTTTACTGAGTTTACCATCCGGGCTCTCACCCCAAACTCTTCTGTCTTCTCTATCCTCCAAGGAGATATGGATTTCCTTTATTTTGTCTATTATATTTTGAGGACAATTGCCCTCCAAATTACTTTGCTCCCAACATTTATCTTGCAAATTTATATAGTTTCCAACCTTATAATTCATAATTGCTTGGGAAAGAACCCTTCCATTTTTTAGCTCCACAATGAGTTGAGAACTAATCCAATTATCCAGCCAGAAGTTGCATTTCCTTCCATCTCCAATGTCCCACATTAATCTTTTTTTAAATGAACTTGTTGCTGGTTTATTCTTTTCCAAGCCCATGAAGCCGATTTTCGAGCTTTATGGTCCAAAAACTCCTCTTGTTTTAGGTATTTCTTTTGAACAACCTGGACCTACAAATTTTCCTTCTCTGTCATTACCAATATTTTAAACGTGGAGGCATTACATTAGACGTTCCACTACCTAGAACCTAGAGGTGTGAGGTGTAGCTCAGAACATAAAAAAAGGATTAATGCATTCTATTGTCCAATGAACCTATTTTTTCTTTTCTTTTCTTATTTTCTTTCCTTCCCTTCCCTTCCCTTTTCTTTTCTTTGTTTTCTTTTTTTTTTCTTCTCTTTTTCCTTTTCTTTACCTTCCCTTCCCTTTCTTTTCTTTTTTCTTTTCTGTCTTTTTATATGAGGTGTGTGTCAGGTGCATGAGGCATATGCCTCTAGCATGCCTCATAAAAAAGACGTATAGGGGCACCTCACTTTTTTTTTGATCGTTGAATAATAAGATTCATTAAATCAAAAACCAAAAAACACAACTCAGGGAGAGGCACGAGATGCTACCTCCCCGTTAAGAAAGGGAGGAGGAGGATTCTATCTACCCTTTAAATGATTACACAAAACAAAGAAAAGTTACACAAAAGCCCAATACAAAGTAACCCGAGAAGTCCCTTGTTTAGCAAGAGCATCAGCCAAGGCATTTGCCAACCTTCCCACCCACTAAAACCTAACTGTCATATTCCTTGTGAGCCATTTAACCTTTTTTAGAACATCCTTAAAGCCCCAAGTGATAGCATCCGGGTCAGCCAACCATCCTACTACCACTTTGGTGTCTCTTTCAATTATTAAATTCTGTACTCCAAGTTGGTTTGCAATCTGTATCCCTTGTGCCGCAGCTAGAAGTTCAGCCCTTATAGAGTCTCCTATTCCCACTAGTCCTAAAAAAAGAGAGAGAACGTTACTGTCCTCTACTCCTTTTTTCTTAGAACACCACCAATGCCAGACAATCCTGGATTGCCTTGACTATCCCATCAAAATTCAGCTTAACAAAACCTTCCACAGGAGGAGTCCAAATTGCTTAAATTCTGAGCTTCTTATAAGAAGTAAATGCCAATGTAGACCAATTCCTCCATATATCATCGAAGGAGTAATTTTCAGAGAGTTTTGTGGGGGCACCTCACTTGGAGGCGCCCTCCAAGTGTATGCCTCCCACACCTTTTAAAACAATGCTCATTACCTTCTATCCTAGTCTCATTAGGTTTGCCTGATTCACTTTATACATCTTTCTTATTCTAGGCCTCCCCCATTTTTGTCCTTGCATACTGTATTCCACTTAGTGAGTGCAAAAGTTCTGTGGTTTTGATTTGCACCTCAAAGGAATTTTCTTGGTACTTGTCCATTACCTTTGTTGTCTCCTTGGGGATCCCATAAATACTTATCCGGTATTGGGCAAGGTTGTTTGTTACTGCTTTTAGGAGAGTTATTCTTCCCCCTATTGATAGAGTTACTCTTCCTCCCATTAATAGAGTTTTGCCCCTCCATCCTTCTAGCTTGCTCTTGAATTTTTCTAGTAACTAATGGGAAGTGCTTTTTGTTACTCTTTTTTCAATTGTTGGAGCCCCAAATATTTTTCCTCTTTATTGCTTTTGGGATTCCTACCATTCTAGACAACATTATTTGGAATCTATTCGGAGTATTCTTTGAGAAAACATGGTCGATTTTTGTTAATTTGGTCTTTGGCCT